CCCCGGAGCTCGGGGTCTGCCCTTGAGGCGGGCGAAGGCCTGCGCCATCTCCTCCCCGGAGACGCCCAGCTCCTCGAGCCATCCCTCCGGCGGTGCCGCCCTCTCCGGGGCCTTATGCATACCTAAACTAACCCTCCTCGAGGGAAGGAGGGTCAGGTTATGTCGGGCTCTACTTCTACTTAAAACTAGTGACTCAGCTCGAAGTAAGAGGGGTAGATGAACCAATGGGGAGGTCACCTTGAACCCCACTCCCGAACGGACGCTCACTGTCTGCCTATCCTGTTCTGTTTGCGCGGTTTAACGCGTTTCCCTGCACGTACGTTTCCGTACTAGTATGCGGGGGTTATCCTCCGTCGTCATGGAGGACTATCCCTTCTCTTATCCTTTCCGCGGCTTCTTTCTGGGACATAACCTTCTCGCAAAATGTGAGGAACGCTTCCCTCTCCTTTTTCTCACGCAAGGCACGGATAATCGCGGGCCATGTCAGATCCTGACCTACTACCCTAACTAATTCTTCGCGCTCCCCATTCCACGCAGGACAGTACCTGAGGGTGTGTGACGCCGTATCGTTATTGGAAACACAGTGCCAACATCTGCTGGTTTCTTCCTTTCCAATCTTACGTAGATAGTGGCCGAAGCAGCCATGGCCCGTTATGATTTGGGTCGACCTATATGTAAGGCCCACATCCGCCTTCAACCATTCTCGGAGCTGTGTCTCCAGTGCCCCCAGAACCGCTCCACCTCCGTGTTCCGTTGCTCTGAGCCAGATCCTCCATTCATGGACGAGTTTCCTATGAGCCTCCGCCTGAATAATCTCCAGCGATCTAGGTTGTATCGGAGTATTTGACGGAAGGTTCTTTCTCAAGTCCGCTACTCTTTCGTATACCTCTTCGTACTAACAGTTCGAAGGGAGGCATTCCCGCCAGGACCGAGTTGGTCGCGAAAGACACCGTGCGAAATGCCCGTATCATCCTCCCCGTCATTCTCCGTTGTACGTTTCGGATCAGTTGCCTAATTCTCCTACTCTTCTTAGCCTCGTAGGCCCACACTGGGGCCCCATAAAGCGCAATTGATGCTATGACGTGAGTATAGAGTCTTCTAACCTTCGTGTTAGGTCCCCCAATATTTGGTAGGAGCCGACTAAGGGACAAGGCCGCCCTATCTAGTTTCGGGGCCAGTTCTAAGAAGTGTGCCTCAAATTTCCACCTATTGTCCAGAGTAAGGCCGAGATATCTCATTCGAGTTCCCACCCTGACTTCTCTGCCCGCGACTCGCACGCTGGTATGTGCTGGTCTGCCCTTGGGGTGGAAGCCAACCACCTCCGTCTTAGGTGGGGACACCTCCAGTCCTCTTTATTAAAGTTTTCGAGCAGAAAAATCTTATTTTTTTCGACTTACCGATTAATCAGCCATTCCAGGGGCGTACATCAATCCTTCTGTCTCTTCGTGCCACTCATCTTCAGCTGTTCTTTTTTGTTTATGAAGTGTACGAACTTCTTTTGAAGCCAAAGATGCTTCCTTGTTCTGCTTCTTCACTCGGCGTTTATTCGCATAATCGGCGTACGCTTGGCTGTTCTTGCCGGGCAGGCCTCCAAACTCGTTCATAATTTTTAACACTGAGTGTTGACCATCATTAAAGATGGAACCTGCTAAAAACGAAGATATTTCAACAATTTTTCGACCAGAGTGCAAGTGCTTGGGGGCCAGCTTCCATACAGTTGAGTTAAACGATTCATTCGCATTCTGAGTATATCCACCCACACATCTTTCAATCAATTCAGCTCGAGACAAATCTTCGAAAATCGGAAATATTTCTTTTGCTAAATCTGGATGAATTGTTTTTTTCAAATCTGTGGGGTGCGTATAATTAATCTGTTTTCGATTAGCAGCAGCAGCTTCAGCAAGTGCTCTCTGGTACTTGCACCAGCTGTCAGCGCCTGGATCACACAGGTGGTGTTGCGGCTTCCGGTCTGTAGAAATCATATGATAGTATGTTGCCATTATCGAGTCTTGCATTTTTTTTACAGATGTATTAGTAGTACGTCTAATAGCCAGCCCGTAGTACACTGAAATATTATTAATCAGCGCCATCGTGAACACTCCGCGCTTCAAAGAGATGAGCTTTTTTTTTAAAACGCGAAGCCGCGACCCCATTCTTTTTTGAACGTGAGAGATGCATTCGCTTTTTTTTACAGTAAAATTATCACCGTATGGATTTAATTGAAGCAAACCTTTAAATGTTGCAGAGTCTCCGTCCCCTATATAATTCATATATTTGACATTGAACTTTTCTACGGATCTCGAAAACATTTCTTTTACTCCCTCAACTTCCTGCGGAACCTTGGTGATTTTTCGAGCACTCTTCTTCATGTTCTGCCCACCATTCAGCATATTCCTCAGAGTCTCGATCTACATTTTTCTTAGTTGTACACGCTTTGCAACAGCTACTTTTTACAACCAAATCTATTACTTTACCGCACGAATTTGCGATTAATGTTACAACACCAAGCAATGACTGATATCCTCTTCGTTTCCATGATCCATCCCCAGAAACATCAAGCTCGTCTGCAGGCTTTCCTTTTTTTTCATTTTCTGTTTTTTCACTTTCTATGGCACTAGAACAGGAAGCATCAAAAACTTTTTTCCCCGCCTCGTGCACTTTTTTAATAGTCTTCTCGTAAGCGGTCTTCGATAAGCCCTTACAAATGTCCATGTAATTACAAAATGTGTTTATGCCTTCCAAGCCAATACCTAAGAGACGCATTACAAATACAATTCTACGATTTATTTCAAAACCGCTGTGTATTTTTGGCCCGGAAGGAATTATAGTATTGTCACACCTACAACTCATAATAATGTTAAAACCGAGACCTAAAGGAGCACTTTCTTGAAATCTTGGTTGAGCTTTGCACTTTGAACAAATTAAATACTGAGAGAGTGTAAAAAAAACAGAGACAAAGTCGATTATTCGATACGATATTGTTGGATGTATTACAGCTTCGTTTAAAGCGGAAGAAATTTTTCGGTCGCTGGCGCTTGTATTTTGCTCAGACGCTTCTTCTTCCTCATTTTGCACAAATTGCTTCCCATGAAATTTTCTTTTTCTTGATCTACAAGCAAATACAGGTTTATCATGAGTGCCTTTTTGACGTGGATGTGACATTTTAAAACTCTAATGACGATCCGCACGTGTCAAAAGCCGGAGCAAAACTAACGCCCAGCCAAAATATAACGGTTATTTTCCTCTTGACACACGTTTGGGAGCATTAGGTCTTCCCCTTCTCTTACTCGAACTAAACTATATCTATATCAGAGAAAAAGAATAAGGAAAAGAGAAGACGGAGCGTCCCTTCTTCGTGCGCTCGGGGACCCCTGCCGCGCGCTACAAAACCGAGCGTATACCTGCGGTCGAAAATATGCTGACATTTCAATACTAATAAAGATTTTGTTTTACAATTTTAAGGAGACATCCTTGAGATGTTCTAGAACAAGTACAAAAATTTTCAAAACATCGAAAAAAAAAAAATTTCGGGACCTTCCCCCCTTAATCGCTAACAGTTCGAAGGGAGGCATTCCCGCCAGGATCGAGGTCCTTGGTCGCGAAAGACACCGTGCGAAATGCCCGTATCATCCTCCCCGTCATTCTCCGTTGTACGTTTCGGATCAATTGCCTAATTCTCCTACTCTTCTTAGCCTCGTAGGCCCACACTGGGGCCCCATAAAGCGCAATTGATGCTATGACGTGAGTATAGAGTCTTCTAACCTTCGTGTTAGGTCCCCCAATATTTGGTAGGAGCCGACTAAGGGACAAGGCCGCCCTATCTAGTTTCGGGGCCAGTTCTAAGAAGTGTGCCTCAAATTTCCACCTATTGTCCAGAGTAAGGCCGAGATATCTCATTCGAGTTCCCACCCTGACTTCTCTGCCCGCGACTCGCACGCTGGTATGTGCTGGTCTGCCCTTGGGGTGGAAGCCAACCACCTCCGTCTTAGGTGGGGACACCTCCAGTCCTCTTTTCTCCATCCGCTGTACAACCACTCCGATCGCCTCGCTGGCGTAAAGTGTGGCCTCCTCCCAGTTTCTACCTGTTGTGAGGACCAGTGTATCATCAGCATAGCATGTCACATTTGTTCCAGGCGGCAGGTCTTCCTTGTTCATAACGGCGTTAAAGCCGATGTTCCAAAGGAGCGGTCCCAGGATGGACCCTTGTGGGACCTCTCGTTCAACCGACTTCGAGTCGATTATGCCCTCCTCCGTGGGGAACAAAATCTTCCTCTCTTTCAAGTAGTCCCGAATGATTCTCCGCAGGTACAACGGGACACGGTGCTTCCTCAGCGCCCGGCCGATCACATCCCAAGGCAGTGAGTTGAACGCATTCTTGATGTCGAGCGATACCCCTACGACCACGTGTCCTCTTTCGAACGCACTTTCCATATATCCTCTGACTGATAGGATAGCGTCCACTGTGGATCTACCTTTCCTAAAACCGAACTGTGACGCCTCTAGATTTGGTCCATAGCCGCTTAAATGCCTCACCACTCTCTCCGAGATTATTCTCTCTAGTAACTTCGCCTCATCCTCCAGTAGACATATTGGTCGGTATCCGTTCGGTTGGTCATCCGGTTTTCCTGGTTTCCGCAACAGAACCAATTTTGCTCTCTTCCATGTCGTTGGAAATAGGCCTCTTTTTAGACATTCGGAGAAAATCTCACGGATGTAGTGACCCAGTTCCGTTGCCGCTAGGGCCCATATCCTGGATGATAAGCCGCTAATACCCGGAGCTGCATTTTTGCTAACCATCCGTTTAACAGCGTAGGCTAGTTCTTCCTGGGACACATTATATCCTTCCTGCCATGATGAGAATCCATCCGGTGGGAGAGGTGGTTCCGACCAAGGCTCCCCATCGTCCCTCGTTGGTGACGGGAACAATCTACTCAAAACCCGTCTCAATATCGTGCACTCCATCGACTCGGTATACGGAGGACATCTTCGAAGCCTGTTGACCACTGTTTTATAGGGGCGACCCCAAGGGTCCTCATTCAGCGTAAGTACAAACTCCGTCCAGGCTTTCGTTTTAGCTTTCCTTAATGTCCTACTGAAGCTGTCCCTTGCTTGCTTGAACTCTTCCAATCGCGATTCGTTTTTGATGGGGTTATTCCTGTCTCCACTTCTGCGCAGGCGTCTGAGGCGCCTGCGTGCCGCCGTGACCCTCTTTCTTAGCTCGGTCAACTCTTCCGTCCACCAGGGCATGGCCCGCCTTAATAATTTTGCACGCCCGCCGCGGCCACAGCCAGGTCATTTTGTATCGTATCGTCGCGTCATAATTTTGTATCGTTTTGCTGCGTTATAATTTTGTATCGCGTTTTATCGTTATTGTAGTAGATCTTAGATCTCGCATGTTCCCGAATCTCGGAGATTTTCGTAACTGCGCGGTTGATTTCCTTAGCTACGTTGTCCGCTGTTTGTGGAATTACCTTAAAATTTGGAACTCGTACGATCGAGAGAGAAGTTGCTACCTAATGCCGCGTGACGAAAACGTATCTTGGAGGGGCAATACCACCCCTTAACGCTTTGGCTAACACATCGTCAGCCAGCATATACGGGATCTTGTAAACGAGTCTGAGAATATATCTGTTATTACTTTATTGTTATCAATTCTGTATCTTTTACTGTTGTCTCGCCTTACTCGTTCTCCAAAGGATCCTCCGTCCCCGACCACGAATCACTCCCTCTACCATTATCGCTGAGCAGTCGGTTATTAGAGCCGTCCGCGTTCATGATTCTCTACACTTCTGTATTTTTGAGTGACAACGTAACGAAAAACTTACGGAAGAGAGGCACGCTCTCTCGTGCCTGGCGCCCAAGTATTGACTTTGAGGTTTAGAGCACGTAAAATTTGAAAAAGTCGTAGCGGCATGGTGCATTTTGAACGCTACTGTTAAGATATCGACGAAAGTGATGTAGAGCGGTAATCGCGAACGCGCGACGAATAGTCCAATAGAATTAGACTCCATAAGACCGTTTCGCGGAAAAATTGTAATTGGGCATTTCTCTCGACAAAAATATTCGGAAATCCATCAGATGGCCAGAAAGGCCATCAGAAAAGGAATGTATACGTTTGAGACTCGCAACTCGTGTGGGAAATATGCGAAAAAAATTCGAATAGTTACAAAAAGCAGGTTTTTCGCTTATAAAACGAAAGCTGTCGATTGTATGGAAAAAAGTTCAGTATGAAAAATGTAGGTATTCGAAATACCTACAAAATGAGATGTGGAATATTAAGATCGGTCTATTAGTTAAGTAGAAAAAAAAATTAAACCACCGGAAAAGGCCTTTTTTTCACTTGCTCTCTGTTCGTCGAGATTTAAACGCAAAGTTTTGAAATTCTCGTAAAATATGTGTAGCCTTCGTGATGATGAACAAATCTAGATCTGAACGAGCCTTAAATGTTCATTAGTTTTTGCAAAAAGCCATTTGTTCACTAAAAACTTGTCTACGGAAAACTTAATTTCTTCATCTTTGAGCAATCGCACAGCAATTTGCAGGAGTGTTTTTTTTTCTTCAAGAGTTGCACTATCACGTACATTTAGTAACAAAACGATTTTTTGCAGTTAAATTATTTTAAAACGATTTTAAAAAGTGAGTATTTTTTTCGTATAAAGAATGGAATAATTCCGTTAATGCATGATATCAAATAGCCGTGTGAAGCATTCGATAGCTAACATTTTTCTACGAATTTAAAAAAAAAGTTACCCTCCGATTATTAGGAGCCGAGATAAC